GAGTGAGAACTCTGCTGGTAATGGTTGGGTTAATAGGTCATGGTTAGTGATGTTCTGGTCATGGTTTATCTAAATGCTAACTAGAACCTGTTTTCTTCTTTCCTCTGTCGTCCTAAAGCAGCTCATGATGCGGCAGAAAGCAGCTGGACATGCTGACCTGTGGGAGCTGAGACGGTGGCGGGGACGCTGTTCCTGCGGCCCCGCTCTGCGGTCATGCTGATGGTGTACATCATGCCAGGGTTCAGGCCCCTCAGGGTGTGAGAGTCAGAGCTGGCTGCCACCGTGTCTTCAGCCCTCTGACCATCAGCAGACACGTAGACCAGCCTGTAGGAGTCCAGTTTGGCCACCGGCCGCTTCCACTCCAGCGTCATGGTGGTCTCCGTTACCTCTGCTACAGACAGGTCTTTGGGGGCATCCAGGGCTGTTTGGTACAAACACGCAAATAGAGATAAATCATGCAGATTGGACCTAAAGTCAGCAGGAAGGAATTTGGAGGATTTTCTATGCAGAAAACTACAGAAGTTACAGTTCTTTATCATAGATTGTCATTAAATAGATGCTCCAGTTCAGCAGGTATTAACCAGATATTGCTGATAGAGTTAGTGTTTCAAAATAAAAAGCATGAATAAAACAGAAAGCCTAGAGTTGATATCGATGGTGGCCAAGGAGCAAAACTGTGCTGCAAATATTTAACTAAGAGAAAAACAAACTGGAAGGAAAAATGAAAAGGAAGAGCAGTAAAGTGCAAACGTGCTGCAAACATATAAATGATGCTTAAGCACATAGAAAGGGAAAATATGTAAGAAAAAAAAGAGCTGCGAGTCAGAAGCTTTAAATTAGCCCTGCATAATGGCAGTCCTCCAGGCCACTAGGGGGCACAGTTCTCTCTGAACCCGACCCCCTTTATCCCGTATGAGTCTGGGAGCGTCTCTCCATGCTGGGCTGGAGCACCGCAGCTTTTCCTAACGTGTAGTTTGGTTTCGTTTGTTTGCATCATCAAGCGTTTGCAGGGCGTTTGCACCTTGCTGCTAATTTCTGTGACTCCGCCTTTTTTCTTGTTCAGCGTTTCTTCTTTGCACGTGTTGGTCTCAATGCCTGTCTACTAGTCCTATCGTGTTTCTAGCCTAATCGCAGTGTTTGCTGTTTATTTTGCTGCGTATTAATGTATCTGCAGTGCGTTTGTCACTCTTGGCCAGCGTAGATAATAGATTGAGTAGAAATGGAAGCAAAGGTATTTTTCTACAGGAAATCTCACCTGTGACTGCGTTGGTGGTGGTGGGCCGACTTTCCCGCTCATCTTTCACCGCCGTCACGCCCATCCCGTACTCCGTTCCTGGCTTCAGGCCTGTGGAACATGAGGAACATGAAGGTGTGATGTTGTGAAGAGAGAAACCTCCATCATGTGATGCAGTGAGGGGGGGTGTTCAGCCAAGTGGCCAGCTGTTGCAGCTAATGGCTCCAGGGGAACAACACGCTCTCTTGTGGCCTGATTGAACAATAGATTGGAGCCTAATTGTGTTTCATGGTGATCCTGCGTTCACAGCGGAGCATCAGCGCCGTATCTGCATTGATGGATCTATAGAGCCCTTGTTGCAGATCAGAAACACTCTGCAGTTCTACAGTGGGCTGTTTGCTCCTTACAATCAGGTTCTCTCTCACACTGATCTCCTCTAATTCCTTTATTAACTCCCACAGAGGTCACAGCGAGCTGGGCTCTCCTGCATGAAATTGCACCTAATGCCCAGGAAACTCATTATCAATAAAATCACGAGCGTGAAGGCAATTACAGATAATAAGTGTGTGAAAGAAGTGCTGAGGTGTGTGTGGAAGCGGGGGGGTGGGGTTGGATGTCAGCTGAATGAACAGAGTGCTTTATTTTCAGCGGCCGGGCCTCCCGAGGACAAAGACCGGCTGAAACAAAGACTAAACTCCTTCATTTTTCAAGCTTTTTTCTTGCTTGTTTGTCCGTGTTGTCTGAAGGTTGCTGTACTGCAGCGAACAAACAGCCAACCTCAAAGATCGCCGTGTGCATCAATGCATGGCCGATACTGTCTGCTGCAGGAGGAGGAGAAGCTATTTACTCCCATCAGATTCTCACCGTCAGACAGAAAGTGGTGTTTCTCCATTCAGGGCTGAATGCGACTGTTTCTGTGTTTAACAGGAAAACATTCAACAGGATAAAGGAAGGAAAACCTCTACTGACCATCCTATAAACCCTAAAACTCTAATTTTAAAGCCTGACTATCCTATAAACCCTAAAACTCTCATTTT